TATATAAACTGTTTTGAGTAGAAAGCCGCTTATTTGAACAGAACTTTTTTCTTTTGAAATCAAATTTCGTAAGAATTATGGTCGTTTTCCCATCAAGAAATATTGACTTTCAAGAATGACAAGCCTTCCAGAGCTGTTGTGCGATATTTCATAATTTTTGGAGTTCGATAGGATAGCATAGATAGCGAATAGATATCATCTAATAATAAGATGATCGGACTTTGCACATTCGTTTTATCACTCTTAGCTTCTACACTCTTCGCCCTCGACAATGGATTAGCCAGGCAAGCCCTCTTCCCTTGAATTCCAGATATGAGAAGGATTTGTGAGTTTAGAACTCCTCCGATGGGATGGATGTCCTGGGCGACATTCTTCTGCGAGGTTGACTGCGAGAAACATCCACATGCCTGCATCAACGAAAAGCTCTATCAAGAGATGGCTGATAAACTTGGTCAGTAGGAATGTTAAGCATTTTTGGGATTAGGAGGACGGCGACAAGAGGTTTGAGAAAGGTTGAGGAAGAGGAGATAAAGTTGCTTTGCATAAACAGATTCTGAGGCAATTCATAATTAACGTTTCTTCTACCTCTTTCAATCGCTGAGTTGTGGACAACTCTCTTAGAGAGCCTTTTTCTAACATTCATTAGAGCGTTTTCTTCAAATTTGTATTTTATTTCTTGTACTTTGTTCGTATCGAATTCCATGATATGAAAGACAAACCTCGAAAGACTATACTCTCCCGAAATGCTCCGAATTTACGGAAAATCGTTGTATTTGATTCGAAAAAGCAACAAGCCACAAATCTCAGCCCGAGATTTTTGAAAGGCTTTGTCGAAAAATTTTCTGAATATGTGAAACGCTGTGCCCTTATTGCCTTTCCTGTGCCCTTATTGCCTTTCTTATCATCGCATGAATTGGGTTTGCTTTTCGTGTCAAATGTCTCCAATCCTTCTTATCTGAAGCAAGATCTTCGTCTGATCCGTGTTCTCGTGCATCGGCCTTGTTTCTGTTTAACTATTCATTTTGGGCCTATTCAGATTTTCTACCAGTGGTTCAACCTTAAAAGAGCTAATCTCCTGTCCTTCTTTCCTTCTGCGCGCATGCCCATACCATCGCCATTTTCTCGCGCCAATTGCATTCAGCTGGAGCTACTCTTAATGGAAATCTACCGTCCTGCACATGTGGTTTTCATGGACTAGGTCCATCGCAGCGCCCTTGTTTCCATGCCTGAGCTGGCGCTATTCCTTTCGCAAACATGGCTACTTCATCCGCTAACTTAGCATTCAATGCTACGCAATGCTGGTAGACGGATAACAGTCCGGCACAGTTGGGACTCAAGTTGCACCGTTTCTTTTGTAGCACAGAACTACTGCTAAGGATTCAATTCATCCATGCAGTGTTGGTCCTGCCTGCGACCTCCTCTTGTAGATTCCTCTTCGCTGAAATGTGATACTAGGGTACTTGTATGAAGCCATTTTCAAAAGCTTTTCGTCTCCGATGCTTATAGTTCTTGGAGTTTTTCTTTATGTCCGCATTATATTCTGTCTCTGATATTGAGTTATAAGTGATACAGCTACAACCTGTTTTCCGTCTCTCTTCTTC